AGCTTCGCGAGCGCGTCTCGCGCGGCGGGGACAGCGCCGCGCCGTTGTGCAGGACGCCGTACTGGTCCAGCAGGAACACGTCGTAGTCGTCGACGAGGTCCCCGAGGCCGGAGACGGAGGACGCGGCGCGGCGCAGCGTCGAGCGGTGGCGCCAAGGCACGCTGCCGCCGCAGCGCTGCGACAGCGTCGCGCCTTGGCGCCACGGCGCCACGCTGCCGCAGCGCTGCGACGTCGTCGCGCCGCGCTGGAAAGCCTGAGCCATCGTCGCGACCGTCACGAGGGTGCGCGCTGCCCAGGTCGCAGCCATCAGAGCTCGATGCTCGGATGGGTGCTCGGATGTTGATCAAGATGCCGCTGACCGTGAAGTGTTGTGGCAATTTTTTTTCGAGCGTCGCGGCGGCGATTTGGTGTTTCCACACTTCAAGAAAAAAAAGAGAAAGAAAAAAATCGGCGCCGAAGGCGCCGTGGGGCGGCGCCGAAGGCGCCGGGAGGCGGCGCCGGAGGCGCCGAGGGAGCGCCGGAGGCGCCGGGGACGCGGGGGAACAACAACACAGGTATTAAAACTATGATGGCCACGGGTATTTGTCGAGCTTGCCCGCGTCGCTCACCGTGAACGTGCCCGACAGGGCCTCCAGCTTGCGCTTGAGCTTGTCCCTTCTCTCGGGGTCGCCGGCGCCGTTGGTGCATTCTCCGGGAATCGCCGTGGTACACCACCACCGAAGCCGTTTCCGGCCGTCGCGGCCCTTGATGCCGTCGATCTCCGCGAGCGTGAGCGTGAGCGACTGCGGCCGCGCCGCGGGCGCCGGACGCGGCGCCGGCGCCGCGAGGGCGACCACCGGCGGCACGAACGTCGGCCTGGCGAGGCGTGCGTCGTCCATGACCGGCAGTGGCGCCGGGGACGCGTCCATCTCCATCGCGGCCGGCGCAGGAAGCTGTCGCGTACCAGGATCGACGGTCGCGACGGCGCGGATCCGCGAGAGCATGGTCGTGGTCCCCGACGCCGCCAAGACCGTGTTCGTCATCGAGCGCTCCTGCATGCGCCGGTTCAGCGACTGGAGCGCGCGGACGCTCGTGTAGATCGACGTCTCCTTGTATCGCAGCTGGAGTCGTCGCCGTAGACGCACCGCCACGTCAGCGCGTCGGCGTTGAAGCTCTGGACGTAGCCGCGGCCGCGGGGGCCTTGGACCAGCGACTGGATGAGCTTGGCGCCCTCGGAGACGTTCAAGGGGGCCCACGCCTTCCACTTGCTCACGACGACGTGCCGCTCTGGACCGGAGCCGCTCGAGTAGTGGTAGAGCGCGTAACCGTCGGCGTCTTCATGGAGGAGCTTGCGCTCGTGCGGTGTGAGGTCGAAGCGCAGGTGGAGCGGCTCGTCGGGCAGGTTCGTCGCGTAGTTCTGGATCATCCTCCTCGCCGCGGACAGCAGCTCCTTGCGCGCGGACGTGTTCGGCGGCGGCTCCGTCTCGTCCTCGCGCGGCGCGCCGTCGTCGTCCTCGTCGACGTCCGGGTCCGGGTCCGGCGGCGCGCCATCGACGCCGTCGATGACCTGGAGCGCGCCGGGCTCGCCGGGCTCGCCGTCCTCGACGACGATGACCTCGTGATCAGATCCTCGTCGACGTCGACGCTGTAGGTGCCCGTGGGCGAGCTCTGCGAGTTCGCCTTGACGATGGGGATGGTCACGAGCAGCGCGAGGCCCGTGAAGACGGTCGACGCCTTGTCACCTGGCGGACCCCA